TGGTGTGCGTGTCTGGACTCTGAGCTCCCGAGACCATGCCGGATTCAGGTCTGAAAGGCAGTGCCTAGCCAGTGTTTGCCCATGGGGAGGCCCCCGGGGGAAAGCTTGCTGAAGACAGAAAGGAATGAGGAAGCGTTTTCTGAGTGGATGGATGAACGGAGGAGCATTTGCTGAGTAGGGGCTGGACAAAGAACTGTAGGTGGGCTGAGTTATGCATTGTGAGGTAGGCAGCCTCCTAGATGGTTCCCACTCCCCAGAGATCTTCCCTGCGGGTGTCAAGAGTGTCCTCCCACACTGCATCAGAGCTGGTCTGTGTGGCCAACAGCATACTGCAGAAATGATGGTGTGCAACTTCTGAGGCTAGGTCATGGAAGACGTTGCACTTCCACCTTGCTCTCTTGGGTCACTCACTCTGGGGGAGGCTAGCTGCCGTATTGTGGGGACACTCAAGGGGCCCTCCAGAGAGGCCCTCCTGGCCAGCAGCCAGAACCAAGCTGTTGTCAAAGTGGATCCTCCAGTCCCAGGAAGCCTTCAGATGAGACGGTGGCCCCAGCTGACACCTTGATTGCAACCTCATGAGAGACCCCAATCTGAACAACCCCGTCAGGCCACTCCAGAATTCCCGACCCTCCGAAACTGTGAGAGAAATAAAGACATATTGGCTTAAGCCACTATGTTTTGGGGACATTTGTTATGCAGTGACAGATAACTAACACACATTTCTGAGTCTTTTCCGAGCTGAAGAGAACTTCCTGGAAGACACAGTTAGTGCCTTCTGTCCTCCTTCTCACTGGTGACCCTTGCCTCACATTATGGTGAAAAGACACGAGACAGATTTGGTTTTAAATCCAAGCTTCCCAATTTACTGTTTGGATGACTTTAGGATTTTTAGGGAAATGAGCTCTTCTCCTTATCACATCTTCTCCCTCCTTTCTTCTACTCATCTTACTTGTCTGCATCCGTCTTGCCACAGTAACAGTAGCACTTTAGAGTGGTGGCTGTCATTTTTAAAGTACCTGTATGTGCCAGGCACTGTGCTAAGGGATCTACAGATATGATTTTATTTAATTCCCTCACTGCCCCTGGTGGCGATGGTGGAGTTAGGCATTATTATACTCACTGTTTTTTTTTTTTAAGATAAGGGAATAGACAAGGGAAGATTTCGAGCAGTTGTGTCATCTGCCTAAGACTAGGCAGAGAGAATCCGGATTCAAAGGCAGGTTTGTGAGAAAGCCGAAGCCTATGCTCGTTCCTATTGTACACCTCTACTTCTGGGTCTCGGTGTTCTCATGTGTAAAATGGGCACAATCCTGACCTCACAGATGAGCAGAGCAGTGCCTGTAAAGCAGCCAGCCCTGTGGATGGCAGGTAGTAGGGGCTTTGTGAGTGGAGGCTCCCTTGCCCTCCCTCCTTACCCTCTTACCCCTCCCCCATGAACTTGGAGATGGGCTGTTTTGACCCTTGTGTAGACAGGGTCTTGCCAAGTGCCTGTCACTAAGAGAACATCAGGGAGTTGATGTGGCTGCGAGCTGGAGACCACTGGGCCTGCCTCAGGATGGGGTAGGTGCCCTGGGCCTAGAGGTCAAGCAGTTGGTAACATCAGCTCTGGCCCCACCCACTGAACCTGTGTAATGTGCCACTTCTGTGCTTGGAGCGGGGAGGTGCCCTGCCTGAGCTCATACAGAGAGGAAGGAAGGGCTGGAGCCTGCCTTCATACCTAGGTCAGTGTCCGTAAAGAGGCCGTGTGTAGAGATGGCTCCAGGTGCAGGATCCCAGAGGAGAAAACATTGTCCTGGGTTGGGGGGAAGGGTATTGAATCATCTCTCAGATCAGGCAGGAAGCCCCAATTAATTACAAGGGTTAAGTGAGTGGTCTAGAAGCAGAGTTTTGCAGTCAATTAAAGGTATGCTGGAGAAAGCTTTATTAACCCCTTGCCTCCTGGTAGCTTTTGGTGTAGGAGAAAGCAGGGACCTGTCAAACTGCAACAAGCTCCCCCACACTGTGGGGAAGGTAAGCAGGGAGTACCTTCTACCAAAGATGGCGCAGTAGGGACTCCTGGGTTACATGGGAGGATGAATTTGACTTGGAAACTCCTTCCCATTCCAGGTTTCTTGATTTCCTGTGCTTTGGTGAGGTAAATGGTCAAGTCTGCTTCATGGGGCAGGGGTGGGGGAGTTGGGGGGCCTAGCCACACACAGTTTGTGCTTTTCCTGTGCTCCAGTGAGGAGAGCAGACTGCCCACTGCACTCTCCCCTGAAGTCTCAAATCCAACTCATTATTTCCCTGCAGACCTGTCTCCATCAGTGTTCCAGGTCATGGAGGGTAGAGCCACCGAGACGGACACACAAGCACTAGCCTGGACCCCCATCACTGTCCCCCGTTTCCAGTTCTGAAGTCCTGCTAATCTTCCCTCCTATGTCCCTCCAATCTGCCTACTTTTCCCTGTCCCATTGCCACTGCCTGAGGTCAGGCCTCACTATCTCCAGCCTTGCACCAGCTCACCCCTGGGCTCTCAACTTCCGCAGCTTACTCCTAATTCGTCTTCCTCGATCTGCACATCTGATCATGTCATACCTCTGCTCAAGATCCTTCGCTGGTTTCCTGTTACCTGCAGGTAAAGTGCACGCTCCATCTGCTGGCACCCTGCTTGACATCCGGGGCTCTCAGCTTTTAACCAAGAACTCACTGAGTCCCTGCAGTTGTTCCCTGCTTCCCCACGCATGTTGGACCACTTGTCTCCTCTAGGCCTTTGGTTATGTCAGCCTCTCTCCACCTGGAATGCCTTCCTCCTCAGGGTTGGCTCTTCTCATTGCACACTGAGCTCCCCGACTCAGTCCGGGGGACCTGCTACCCAGAACACTTGCCCAGGGTCATGGACAGATCTGGCAGAACAGGCAGGAGTGGTGATGTTAGGGCTTAGAAGACGAAGGGGTCAGGTTCTACCTCCATCTCCTCATTGTCCATCAGGTGCAGAGAGCTAAAGGCAAAGTGACTGGCCACCAAATAAATGACATGGAGATTGATTGCTTGGGCCCCTCGTCAGCATTGGTGTCTTGGAATGTCAACCAGGTGTCGGGATGGAGGACACTGTAGGCTAGACTCTGGTGGGTGCTGGTAGACACTGGAGCACCAGTCAGTTCTCCCCTGATAGGGCTCCCAGTTAGCGAAAGAGACGTGTGCAGTGGCATAAAGTACAGTAGAATTTGCAGAGTGCTGCTCCTTGCATGCTTGGCATGGGGTGCTAAGAACGTGGGTGTAGAGGTCAGAGCGATTATTGTTATCACCCCCTTTTACTCGTGAGCAAACATGCAAAGGGGCCAGGTGAGGGAACCCACCAGCAAACCCAGTGCTGTCTGAGCGCCCAGCTGTGATGCTCTGCTTTGTGTGAGCACAGCAACAAACTGCCATGGGCAGTGGGCTGGGGCTGTGGGCCTCACACAGGAGGTGACATCTGAGCTGGGTCTTGAGATTTAGAGGAACACACCAGCGAGGGGAAGGCTACCCCTCATTCCAGGCAGAGGGGACAGAGTCTGTAGACATGAAACAGCATGGAATGTGTGGGGGTGCTTGGAGAACAGAGTTGGGTGTGGGTCTGACCTAGCAGGTTGGGGTCATAGCACATGGGTCCATTTTGACAATCTTGATATTATCCTCTAGGCCATGGTGGGTGTTGGGCAGGGGAGTGATGTGGTTAGCTTTGTGTTGTTTTTGGTGAGTTTTCCAGGCAGGGTGGGTGGTGGGGATAGTATGAGTAGGAGGGAAGAGGCCGTGGCTGGGAGACCATTATGTGGGGAATGGGAGGTACCCAGCCAGGCAGAGTGATGGTGGAGGGCAGCAAGGATGGAGGGGGTTCTGGTCTGGTCCTGATTCCTCAACAAGGCCTGGGAAGAGTCTGTCCAGAAGCAATGCCAAGGGATGCCCTTTCTATGTCTCCAGCCTCCTGTTGCTGGCAGTGTAGGAACTCTATCAATGTCGGTGGGGTGACGAGTGACAGACCTTGTCCATCCATGTAGCTTGGCTCTGTGCCAGAGGTCACACACGAGGAACTTTGGGAGGCTAAAGACGGGGTGTGGGGTGTTGTCACCAGGCTGGACCACCAGTGTCAGAGGTTGTACCGTGGCTTTGAAGGGTGGGAGGTGAGTGGTTCTGAATCTTTGGGGCCATTCCTGACTGTGGTCTTGGTTGATTTCTGGGGTTATTTTCACAGTGTCTCAGCCAGAAGTGAGGGTAAAACTGATGGTTTTCTGCAGCCTCTTGAGCTCTTTGGGTCAGCCCCCCTCATGCCAGCTGGTCCCCCTGTAGCCTTGGTGGTGCCGGCGGACAGAAGAGGACAGACAGACTGAGAGCTGCTGTACAAGGTCTTTTCTTTGTTGTCGTGGTTGGGTTGGTACATGTTAGCATCTGCATCATACAAAGGGGGAGCAACAGCCATGGCTTTTGGTCAGGTTCAGGGGGGCATGAGGGGTGCCCCTCCCCTCCCCCAGGCACTGACACATTTAAAGGAAGCAGAGCAACAAGGACAGCACAGATGTGGGAAAAGGATACCCCCGCGCGAGCAGGATGGTCGTCCTCACCTGCGTCTCACTAGGACCCCACCTGCACTCGAAGGCCAGCGTGACCATCTCCCATCTCTCTCCCATGAAGAGTGGAGAGGGGAGCAGGGGACACGTGGCAGGAGGCAAATTCTCAGGCCTGGGAGATGTCCCCTCATCTGAGCCAGTTGGACCCTAGTCCCCTTCCTTATGCAGTCAAAGGCCTGTGGGTCCCTAGAAAGATGGAGCAATTAGGTGGTGGGGGTCAGCAACCCTGCCAGCTGGGTGCTGGGGGCTCTAGGGGCTGGGTATCTGCCCCATTACACTCTAACCATCAGCTTTTGGGTGGCTTCTTTGCCCACATGAGGGCCCTGGGCCCCGAAATACTTCTGTTTTCTGTCTCTCTTTTCTCTTCTTCCCCCTTCTTTTATCTATCTATCTATCTATCTATCTATCTATCTATCTATCAATCATCTATCTATCTATCTATCTATCATCTATACACACACACCTGGGAGGGTCTCTTGACTTCCTGCTTGTGTTTGGAGGTGATCCCACATGGCTTTGCTGGTAAGGACACCCTCCAGGAGCTCCTGGACCTGGAGCAGAGGATGTCCACATCCTTGCCTGTCTCAAGGGCCCAGCCTGGCAAGTCCAGAGAGGCCTGGTCCCTTCTCTCTGGCGGTGACCTTCCAGGCACACAGCACACAGCGGCCTTCCTTGGCAAGCACACGTACCGTCCTCCGGTGGTGCGCACTTGCATCTTGTTCTTTTTTCACCATTTACAATGTTGCTCTTCTTTTTTCCCTAGTTGGGGAATGTCTGCCATGTATGTTGTGTATGTGTGCTAAATTCTGGGGCCTATCCTTTCCTGCGCCTTTCCTCCCAAGTGTGTCACATGCACACTGCCCCATTTGTGTGTGACACACTCATCCCCTCCCATCCAGGAGGCTACACACACCTCCTGCCCCAGGCACATCGTGTGATTATCCCTGCCCTGCTAGAGCCCCCCCACATATTGTGTCCCTCTATGAGTATGCTGCACATTGGCTGCTCTCCAGAGTCAAGTCTGTGTCAGGAATGACAGTCATCATGTTCCCCTGGACCTGAGAGTGATTACCTGGCAGTGGTTAGAGCCAGGCATGCTCCAGGCTGAAATTCCCTCCTTGCTTCTACCTCCCAGAAGACCTCCAGTCTTGATAGGAGCAGGTTGTAGGAGTCTGGGAAGTGCACCAGACTAAGCCAGCCAGCCTGGAGGGCACTCTCATATGGGAAAAGCCCTGAGCCCACTCTGGGGGTGCAGAGGGGCTCCAGAAACCACTAGGGATGCCCTCTGAGAGTCTAGGGTCTCTCAGACTCACCTGGGATATCTTGTATGGCTGGGTTTCCCTGCTCATCTGAATCACTAGGCCTCAGTCTCTGTTCACTTAGCACTCTCTGTGCCCTGGCCCCACCTGCAAGGTCTGTGGGCCCCTGTCAAGGGGGAGACCTTTCTGGACACTCAGGATCTACCTGTGTCCAGTGGGGCTCACACACAGGGTCTGGGGAGGCCTGGGGCTCCTGTACTGGGCCCTGCCTATCTCTGCTCCAGGACCCCAGGGCTCTAGAGAATGACCATCCTGCCCAGGATAACAGACACAGACAAGCAGACAGTAGGGGTGCAAGGTGGCTCCCCATCACAGACACAGGCACACACAGAGACAGGCCCCATGGGGGGCAGGACACAGGAGCACAGGAAAGGGGCGGGGGTGGGGTAGAAGGGAAAGTCCAGGGAGCTGGAGCTGCTGAGGCCCTGCTCCCCAGAGAAGGGATAGACTAGGGGACTTTTCTGGTTCCCTAAACATATGGATTGTTTTGTCTCATCTTTAAAGTATTGCAGTCTAACTGATATGGCTTTAACTATTGGAAACGGACAGAGAAGACACATGTCTCTCTCTGAAATAAAAACATAAATCCACTAAAATGGAAAACCTGCAGAATGCAAACTGGGGTCAATGGGGCAGGGGCATCAGGGGCAGGCAAGTCGCCCCCTCCCTGGTCCCTGCTTTGGGGGGTAGGCCCTGGCTGGGGCCCAGCATGGCTTCTTGGGGCACTGCCTGGGTCTGTCCCAGTGGATTTATGAAGACCTCAGGCAGGAACCCCCCAAGGGCGGGAGGACTCTAGGCCAAGGACAAGGTCTCCTGTTGGATGTGGCTACTGTGACCAATGGTTTTGGGGCCAAAAGGGAGCATCTCACCCATATTCTTTCTTCCCAAGAGCACATTCTGCACACAGCTGCCTTTTCAGAGCCACGCACACGCACACACCAGTCTTAGCACATCTAACAATTCCCAAACACACATTTTTACATCTAACACATACCCACCACTCCTGACATACATGCTGTTTTGAAAACACATGCAAATACAAGCTAACACAGGCAAGCTCTCCCACACATATGAGATGGCTAGCACACATATATGGCACAATCTCAATTCATACATACCACCTCAAACACACACATACACAGGCTGCCTAACATACACAGTCTCTAACACAGGGACATGATGACAAACACACATACACACATAATCTCAAGACACAAACATACTCTAACCATACACCTGTATGTACAATCTCTGGTCACATAATTGCTGATGCAGTCTCTGCCATGCCTACCTACACATGCATGGACACACACTTTCCTCTCTTATTGCTTCATGCCCCCCTACCCCCATTTTCACACAACTGACTGAGCAAGAGGCCTTGACAATTTGTGGGGGGAGGAACAAATACCAGTCTCACACATCCCAGAGGAGAGTTTGTTCTTGGCCAACGAGATGAATGGACAAATGCCTTCTGTCAAGGGGGACTGGCTTCTCCCCAAAGGAAGACTTGGGGCTTTAGCCAGGAAGGGTCCTCCAGGGGCTCATGAGGTCCTGGAAGCACATGGACAGGACAGGGTGGTGGGGAAGAGGGATAGATAGGAATGGGGGCAGCTTGGCTGCACCAATGGGGGGGGTCCCATGGCATAGGCCATCGCTGCCCAATGGCTCCAAGTGTTTTCTGGGGGGCCTGGGCACCCTTGGCTTGGGCAAGCTGAGCCCAGACTGGCAGTGGGCTCCCCAGACCTAAGTGGAAGGTGGAGGGAACAAGGAGCTGCCCTACCCTGGGCCCCTCCACAAATGAGTTAAAGTCCAAAGAGGATCCATTTGGAGGGACTGGCGTGGCAGGAACTACACCTTTTTGGGCGGGGGTTGGGAGAAGGGTGCTCCTGGGCTGGGTGTCACCAGAGGCAGGGAAGAAGGAGAGTCTCAGCTTCCTACCCAGAACACAGGGGGCCTCTCAGATTGGACCCTCACAGGACAGGCTTACCCTGACTCCCTTCCTCAGAGTGAGGTCACCCAGCACCCTGCCCTGACCTGGAGGCCCACTGGGGGAGTCAGAGGCCAAAGGTTAGCATGCTGGGCAGGGCTGGAATGTGTCATTACTTTGGCTGGCTGGGGACAGTGGTCCTCCTGGCAGTGGGGCGCATGAAGGAATGTATGGAGGTTACCACACTAGCGTAGACCTTAAGCTCCTGGAGGGGGCCCCCAGTGCCTCCCACACTGAACACAATGCCCCTGCTGGGGAAAAGCTGTCTTCCCTTCAAACAACTTGGGTGTGAGGTGGGGGCTGAATACCCTGGGATGAAGAAGGTATGAGGGAGTGCTGAGGGGATGAACCCTTGGCCAGGGACAGGGGGACAGAGGCCAACTGAGGTTTTCCCCTTCAGAACTAAGACTTAACTGAATCAAAAGAAAAGAAAGAACCAAAAAAAAAATTAGTAACAAGTGGAGTGGGGATGGGCGGGAGGGCTGGTTACTTCTTGAACATGTCCTGCAGCGGCCCGGGCAGGTATTTGAGCACTGTGTCCAGGATGCTCTCCTCTTCCTCCTCCTCCTCGTCTCCACAGCCTGCAGGGATGGCCTTCTTGGGCCGCGTCAGGCTCCCCTCACAGGGCTGCTCCAGGGCTGCCTTCTCCTCAGCTTCCTTCTCTTCCTTCTTCTTCAGCCCGTACTGGGGGTAGGAAGAGGGCAGACATGAGCATGAACCAGGCAAGCAGAGAGCTGGTCTCAAGGTCATGCAGACTCGGCTGGGGCTGCTCAGAACTCTGCCAGCCTCAGTCTTCTTATCTATAAAATGGGGTTAAGGACACCTTCTAATAGAATTGTGTCTGTCCCCAGTAACAGAGAGACAGTGCATGGAGTTTCATTTAAAATCAATACCTGCTCATGATAACTTCACTGCTCTTTTGAAATCCCCCAAGATATGAAATATGAAAGTTGTCCTACATATTTGGACCTGAATTTTGGTGACAAAACTTGACTTCATCTGATGGAAGGCTACTTATAACCTTGACGTATTGCAGTGGTGTGACCAGACATGTATTGATCTGTTTGGTATTAGGTGGCAGCTGCAGACACACTGGGAGTGACACCTAACAGTAACAGGTGCTCAGGGCACTATGGTACTTTTCAGAAATCTCCAAATTCTCTATTCTAAACATTTTGGTCTCCAGGGTTTCAGGTAGGAGATTGCAGACCTATAGCAGCAAACGTTAGGGAGCACTTGCTATGCTCATTATTGTATATTTATAATCCCCATAGATCCTTGAGGGAGGTGTTCCTGTGACACCCATTTTTCTGATGAGAAGATTGAAGCTCAGAGAAATTTAGGTCTAAGGTCAGAGCTGGGACTCAGGGGAGCTCGAGGCCAGATTTTGGGGACCCATTGTACCCTGTGCCCCTACACTCCAGGGCAGGTAGGTGGGTGGTGCTGACCTTGTCTCGGATTTGCTGCCGAACCTTCTCACGCTCCGCCTCCATGCGCGCATGCTTGGCCTTGCGCTCCTCCTCCTGCTGCCGCAGCGCCTCCTGCCGCTCTTCCTCCTTCTTCTGCGCGTCTGGGTCCTTCTCCTCCTCTCCCCCCAACATCTTCCCCATGTCCTTGGTGGCCCCTGCAGGGGAGGAGTTGGGAAGGGAGAGGATGAGATCAGGGGTGCCAAGAGTTGGGAATAGCAGTGGCTGGTGCGCTAAGGCCCTCTCCCACCTGCGTTCAGACCCTGGCTGAGGGTGAGGGTGCAGGGCTTGGGCCTCACCTCCGAGGGCCTGCTTCATGACGAAGTCCATGCCTACGACTCTGGTTAGCGTGCCCTAGCCCGCAGCCGAATTTGCATGCAGTGCTCCTGGCAGGCCTGGCTGGGGAGATGTGACAACCTGCAAAAGAGGAGTTGGGTTTAGATGGAGAGACTCCACGCAGGCAGGGTGCTGGAGTTAGACAGACGATGGCCTCATCATGGTTCAGGTACAGCACACCACCAGTCTGAAGCCAAGATGCAATGCCCTGGTACCGGAGGAAAAGGAGCTATTTCTTGAGCACGTGCTATGTACCAGGCACAGATATGCTGCCAGGCAGCTCAGATCCCTATTTTATAACCACCTTGACCAGATTACTTGAATATGATTGTAGTCTTGGAAAGAGCCTCTTATTTGGATGCAGGCAGAGCAGGGTTCTAATGCCTCCCTCATTCCTTATTTACTATGTGTCCTTCAGGGAAGTTACTGAACCTATTTGAGCCCCCGTTTCCTCCTCTGTAAGATAAAAATGGCAGTGCTCCTTTCCCAGAGCGACTGTGGAGACGAGAGAATTCCAGCCTGGGCACTGGATTGCCCCTCGATGGAATGAGCATGTGCTCAGGGTCCCACCAATCGGCAGGTGAAGAAACGTAAACAGCTAGCTTAGATGAACATATCCAGACTTCGCAAACGAGACAAATAGAGAAATACGTTATTTATATTATAGCATACGTGTAAGTTTTGTGTTTTATAGCTTAATATTGATTTATATTTTGAATTACACATAGGGGGTTAGAGACATGATCATCTTCTTGGGGCTTAGAACCTTTACAGTACCAAGCATGGAGCCTTGTAAGCACTCAGCTTATGTCAGTCCTCTTTCCCCGCTCCCTCAATCACCAGCTTTCAGTTTTTATTATATTTTTTTATTGTTATTCTTTTGCCTCAGAAGATTTTCTTCAAATAAAAGCTTAATGGGAACCTCAATATGCAAAATATGTAAAAGGAGAACTATTTCAGTGGTGGGGGAGGGGTAGAGAGCCTGGAGCCCCCTTCACCCTTGGCCTTCTTTGTATCCTGTTTCCCCCACATCCCTAATAATTTGAACCCCAGTGCTCTGACTCCTAGAGCATTGGCCCTTAGACCAAAGAGTTGCAGGTTCGATTCTGGTCGAGGGGACATACCTCGGTTGTGGTTTGGTCCTCAGCCCTGGTCTGGGTCGTGTGGGAGGCAACCAGTCGATGTGTCTCTCTCATGTCGATGTTTCTCTCTCTCTTAACTTCCCACTCTATCTGAAGATAAATAGAAAAATATCCTCGAGTGAGGATTTGAGAAAAAAAGCGGGGGTGGGGGGGGTCCTGTGAAATGGTGGCAGAGAAGCCAGACCAGATATTGCAACCAGGTTGATTTCAAGGTCACTTGGCTTTCAGTTAATGATAGATTTTCCTCATTTCTTTCAAAATGAGAAAACATTGTCAGACTAAGATCTTTCCATAAAATGGAGCCGGATAGTTTATTTGAGATGTCTACCTGATCAGCTCTGGCTGGTTTTGCTCAGTGGTTAGAGCATCGGCCCACGGACCAGAGAGTCCGGGGTTTGGTTCCCGCTAAGGGCACGTACCTCAGTTGCAATTAGTTTGTCCCTGGCCCCGGTTGGGGTCGTGTGGGTGGCAACCACTCGATGTGTCTCTCTCACATTGATGTTTCTCTCTCTCTTCCTCCCTCTCTCCCTCCCATTCTGTCTGAGGATAAATGCAAAAATGTCCTCAGGTGAAGATAAAAAAAAAAGATAGATGTCTACATGATCAGACCACCTGATAGGATGGTTGTTTTGAGGAAAGTCATGATGAAGTAGAAAAAAATCCCCATCAGACACCCTGTGTTTGAAACCCTGGCTTCAATACTCACTGGATCTCTGGGAAAGCTTCACTTTATTCCCTATAAAATGGGGGCATATATATTTTTAAATATGTTTTTATTGATTTTTTTTAGAGAGAGAGGAAAGGGAGCGAGAGATAGAAACTTTGATGTGAGAGAGAAGCATCGATCAGCTGCCTCCTGAATGCCCCCCACTAGGGATTAAGCCTGCAACCCAGGCATGTGCCCTGACTAGGAGTTGAACCAGGACCTCTCAATCTATGGGATGATGCTCAATCCACTGAGCCACACCGGCCTGGCAAAACAGGGGCATATTAAGGCTACTCTTCAGCTGATGTTTGAAGGAGAAGACAAGAAACTGGTAAAGCGCCTTGTGTGTAGCAGGAGCTCATTAATATTAGCCATTGCTGACTGCATATTGATGAGGACATGCCAAAATGGACCAGCACTTCTAGGAAATGCAAGAGAACCCACCCTGACCCTGAATTCTGAGTTTGAAGACTGCTTAGCTTAGGGTGTTTTCATTTGATGCAAAACATTATAAAGAGACTGCATTTCTAAGAACAGGAAAAAAAACAAAAACAACTTAAACATCGAGTGATTTCAGGAACTATTGGGTTCTTCCTCCTGTGTTTACATGCTGCTCAAGGATTTGCCAGGTGGTTGTGAAAGACACAGGACTCTAATTTGAGATGTTCAAATTGGTTGACAGGGCACCTGGTCTTTAGTTCCAGCCTCATCCCTAAATTGCTGCTCTGGCAAGTCTCTCCTGAACCAGATTCTTCTGGGTCCTTTCCCCAGTGCTTCTGTTGAAGCAGTTCTGAAGCATTTGAACTGCTGGCCACCCCACTGTATCTTTTCTCTCCCCCATCTCCTACTGTTCTCTCTCTTCTACTTCTCCCTTTCCCCTCCACTTCTGTCCCCTCTTCTCTAGTTCTTCTTTGCTGACTCCTCTTTTTCCTCTTGTATCTTCAATGAAGATGTTCTTAGGACTCTGACCTCAGCCTCCTTTTCCCTCTCTAATATGTCCCTAGGGAAAAACTATTCTTTCTAGGGACTTTAATGACCTTTGATACTGATGACACCTAGACATTTTACCCAGACTCCAGACCCCTGTATTCATTCATCCAACAAGTATTAACTGAGCACCTGCTGTGTGCCAGGCAGTATGTTAGACATAGGGGATATAAGAGTGAACAAGACAAAGTCCTGTTCTCATGCAGACTACATTCTCGGAATGTGTGTAGTGTGAATGTGTATCTGTAGGGAAATAGGCAATAAATGAGTCAAGAAATACATTTGTCTTTCTCTTGCATACCTCCACTGCTCAGACTCAACATGCCATCTCTCTGTCATCAAACTGTCTCCCTCTCCAGACTCCTCTGCCCTTCCTTCCTTCCTTCCTTCCTTCCTTCCTTCCTTCCTTCCTTCCTTCCAGCAAACACTGATCATCACCCCTCAACTCCAGTATGTAGTATATCCACTCAAGAGTCTTCTCCATGCTTATGTCCATATTGCTCCAGGTGCTTCCTATTCCAGCCCTGTTGGGATTACTTAGCCAGCTTCTCGGGTCCTCCCCAAAGTTCTGTTGTTCACTCCCCGCATGGTCTTCTCAGCTCTTAAGCAATGTCTTGTTTACCCTTTCAAGACTTTCCTAACCAACATCTCAAGGCCCAACATACTCTTACATCATCTCACTCAGCAGGTGACTTTCCTCCCACTTCACATGGTACAGGGGAAGGCTCTGTGAGCTCTGGGGCCAGGCATACTGGACTTGGCTCCTCAATCTGCTACGTTTTAGCTGTGTGATAATGAATAAGTGACTTAACCTCTCTGAGTCTCGATTTTCTTTATAAAGTGAGGATTATAGTACTATGAAAGATTAAAAAATATCTAAAGAATATGTTTGGCACATGATGGGGGCTCAGTAAATGGTGGCTATCATCATTATCAAAATGATTAATGCCAGCTAGTGTGAGCTCCTGTGACTTCCCCTCTTTCCAGCTCCTGAGGAAGTGGACCCCTCCTTCCCTTGGCAGCCAACCCATCTGCCTTCGCTCCAGCTTTTCTCCTTACACCTCCTCCTCGATCCGTTCACCACTCCCTCTTCATCACATCTTTAACCTCTTGCCTCTTTCATTCCCCTCCTTTTCCAACTCTTGCCCTGACCCCATCTTTTCCTTAATCTCTGTCCTCTGACTTCATGGTGAGAGAGTCTTTACTTGGTGCCTCTGTTTCTTCACCTCCCAGTCAAGTCCTACAGCTCTGTGAGATCAGGGATTTGCTGCCTCTGCACTGCCACCAAAACTGCCCTCGTCAGACTCGCCAGAGGCTGCTTAAATGTCAGACCCGGAGTGTTTGCATAGTCCTCATCCTCCTCCATTCCTCTTCCTCTGTAGCATCAAATGCTGAGAATGACCTGCCTCCGCCCCTGCCCCCCAGGTTTCTTCTGCCTTCTGGAACCTCCTGAATCCCATGACACAGCATTCTTGTGGTCTTCATATCAGACAGGTCTTCTCTCTCTCCTCTGCTGGCTCCTTTCCTTTAAAACAGCAGTTTTCAACCTTTTTCATCTCACGGTGCATGTGAACTAATTACATGGCACACTCCAAAAAATATATTTTTTGCCAATCTGACAAAAAAAATGGGTATAATTTTGATTCATTCACACCGGAAGCCTGCTATTGTGTAGGCTGCTGTAATTTTTTGTTTGTTTTATTTTACAATCTAAGGGAAAAGAGGTCAGTGCCCCTGACTAAATAGTCAGGTATTGTATGTTTAAAACATTCTTGCAGCATATTGGTTGAAAATCACTGCTTCAAAATGTAGCTGTTCATTTAGGCAGCCTCTCCCCCCTTTCCCCTCCTACTGCTCCTTCCTCCCTTACTATTTCCCTTGGGAATCTCACCTACTCTTATTGGTTTATGCCCTTTTATAGCCACAGATTGATCTTTCTCCCCGAACCTCCTCTGTCTCACCCCTTCCCTTTACCCACTCTCCCCCCAAACCTGCACATTTAACTCTCTGCTGGATGTTGTCATATGGATACTCTCAGTTCATCCTGTCCAAGGAGCAATCTCATCCTTGCCTCCCCCACACAACTCTCTTTTCCTCCAGCACGCCTGGTCCCACTTGCCTCAACTGAAAACACAAGACTCAGCGAATTCTTCATTTATTCACTCACACTACAAAGATTCTCTGAGCACCTGCTCTCTGCCAGCCATTATTCTGGGTGCTGAGGCCATGGCAGGGCACAAGGGAGT